TTTAATTCATTACAGGGAAAGCAAAATGAGCCCCAACAGATATAGTCCAAGGACAAAGCTTTCTGATCTGATGGTGAACTGTTTGAAGGATGCAGCCAACAGGTTAAACCTTGTTGTTGTTGTGTATTCCAGCTGGCAATGATGGAAGGAAGAGGAAGAGACCCCTTATTTGAACATATATTTATACAAACACCTTCCTGGACTTGATTTTTAATGTCTGATTAAACCCAAAGTGAATCTGTATGAGACAGGAACTAAGAATTGGAAAATAAAATGTGCAAACTGTGAATTTGTAGTAGAAGCAGTATTACCTGAAGGAAGCAACTATTTCAGATCCAGCACCAATATTAGGAAAGGTTTCAGTGTAACAGATGTCCTCAACTCCTTTTGACTTCCACAGAAAAAGTTCTGGTTGCTTACTATCTGTATCTTCCGGTGTGTTTCAATGTGTATAATTTGAGTGGTGGAAATAGGATTTTTGGATCGGATATACCATTTTCTTTCATGCCTCTAGTGCATTATTCTTTGTAGCAAAAGGGGCTGCAAATGGTAATAAAAATCAAGGTATTTACAAAAGCAAAAAGAAAATACAGAAACATGGAAGGACTGGCAAATTGTGACACTGGTTCTGGAGAAAATAAATAAACTGTGAAGTGGATCTGGGAAGCCAAGTTCACTTTAAGGGGAAAAAAACCAGTCACCAGGGAGAGATTTGACTCCTATGATAGTGGGATGACTGATCTTGTTGGCTTTTATTTTGAGTTATTTTCAGCTATGGCATTGAATTCCACCCCTGAAATAAGTTAATCTCCATGGAGCACCACGGATAGCTCCTTTAAAGCTCAAAATAAAAGCAAGGATAAGGATCCCACTGCCATACCTCCCCTGCCAATCTTGCTTGCAGATATGGCCGTATGACCCTTTACCTGCTTTTTCTTAGTGATTGTTGGCATCATCATCATCATCGTCACCAAGTTATAGAAATCAATACCAGCAACTTTTTATTGGCGCCTCAGACTCCTTCCATTTACCTCCCCTGAGCCTAATCTAGATGACCGAAATGGCCATCTAGATAAAACGCACGTGTGAGGGATAAGAGCAGCAGAAATTACTGTCACTGCGCCTCACTCCATGCAACATGCATCTGAAATGTGGGGTATCAGACTGCCCCCTAAGTAAGTAAAGCAAGAGAAAGAGAGAGCAGATGCCACCCAACTATTTCTCAGTGATAGGTTGCCAGACAACTCCGCAATACTGTCATCGATACTCAGTCAGCCCTTCATGTCCCCAACAGGCTTTTGATGTTGGTGGAGCAGCTGCTGATGCTTCCAATAAATTCATGATTCAACCAATCACCAACCCTCTGTAGCCATTCCTCCTGCATCGTCTATAAGGCACTGGGCAAAGAATACAAAGACAAATGTGGGGAAAGGGGCATTTTAATATATTTAATCTTTTTATACATTTCTTTCTAAATTACAAAGTCAACAGTTTGCAAGTATAGTTTGCTACAAAGCTTTCTGTATGAAATATCTTCTATAAGAAAATACATCTTATTAAACATTTCCTGTAAATAAATTACTTCCCATACTAGATCTTGCAGGAAAATAAGGGGAAGGACATGCAGAATCCATCAGATGATGTTTGAATCAGTGGGCAACTTTACTTTGGAGTGGCATGTAGTGGAAGGGAATCTCTCTTGCAGTTTCACAGGCAAAAGCATTTTGGATATGTGCTACCATCCATTTCAGTAATTGCAGGAAAAAATGTTTCTTTATTAGATTTATAGCCTGCCTTTTTCTTTTTTTAAAGAACTCAAGGCAGTTTATATCATTCTCCTCCTGCTCTCAGTCTTGTCCCCACAACAACCCTGTGAGGTAGGTTGGGCTAAGAGTCCATAACTGGCCCAAATTCACCCAGTTGGCTCCATGACTGAGTGGGAACTAGAACCTAGATTTCCCAAGTCCCAGTCCCACACTTTTAACCACTACACCACACTGGTTGTCTGAAATGAAAATTTATTCTTGAAACGATGCATTCGTTAAGCTTTAGTCTTTCTTTCATTTCAATAGAAGCAACTGGGCCTCATTGCCTGCACTGATCCCTCAAATACATTCCAGTGAGAATCAATTCAGAAAAAGCCATGCGTGTTAAAAAGTTTCAAACAGACCCTTTGCATAATGCTACTGTTAAGAAGAATAAGAAGTGAGATATGCCTCAGGCCTAAAAAACCAAGTAGTTTGCTCCTGTCATCATGTTACGTGCAAATGCTAGCTGGGAACCAAGGCCTGGCACGCTGGGCTGGGCCCCTCTCTCTCTGTGCATGTGCAACTGAACAGCAGCTCCAGGAAGCTGCAAAGATGAGTGGCGTGCATGAGTTGCGGCGGGGGGCGGGGGGGCAGGGGAATGACCTTAAATCTGTGTCTAGCAGCTACTTTTTTTTGTTTTTACCTTAGAAAAAGTGCATTAATTCATACATGGATCAGGACCCAACCATGCAGAGCAGGGTGTCCTTTAAGATCAAGCTTTTTGCACCTAAAGTTTTTTTTTTAAGGAAAAAAATGCATAGTTGATAGACGTTGCAGCGTTTCAGGAAGTTTTAATGCAATGTCTGTTTTGGCCCCGTGTGCGTTTGACAAGGGAGAGAGAGAGAGAGAGCAGTTAATCCTTTTCCTGCTGTTGTTTTCTCACTCAGAATTCTTCCCAAGCTGCTTCTCAGTGGCATGCTTACCAAAGTAAATACAGACATGGAACATTGTTGGAAGCAACAGCAAAAGAATGGATAGCAAAGAAAGATAGAACGCCTTATCCTCCCTTTGTTTCTCGGGTATCTTCCCAGGTAGCTTTATATGCAAATACATATGCATACACCCAAGCACTGTAACTTGTATGGTGCATCCAGTTTGCACCCTGCATCATGGCATGCAGTGAATCCTGCCTGAGGTCGAAAGGATGGCTAGAGAAGGTGCCACAGTGCACTGGCAGAGTGTGTGATTTGCTTGTAGAAGGCCTTGAGGTCAAACCTAGAGAGCCAGTCTGCCAACAATACGGGGCCTGTCTGAGGAACCAACGGGCAGACCTAGCATAAGGCAGCTTTTCCTAGGGGTGTAAGCAGTATGATCTTGAAATGATCCTATGACCTTCATTTGTACTGCTTTCCTGGAATCCCCACAATGCTCAGTAAAGGAGAGTCTGGGAGATTTCTTAGCAGCCACACTAAACTGCAGTTTCTTGGTTTCCTTAAGAGGGTTTGGGAGATACATGCTCCTTGATCATCTTTGTACATCTTCCAGTTCTGCGGTTCAGCAATGTCATGGCAAATCACACTTTAATTCCAATTAGATGAGAACTGTCGTCATTTGTAAAAAGAGAGATAGAGAAAATGAGGCACAGGGGTTGTGTTTACTGAGAGATTTTGATTTACACATATTAATTACAAATGAACCATAATTTGCATGATACACTGGCATGAGGCAATTTCAGATGGCCAGGAAAATATGGCTTGCGGAAAGCATGCTAGCCACAAAGCCTATTTTTGTTCGACTGCTTCGGAAGTTTTATTTTCAAAAGGATATGGTCATTTTGTGATTGCAAATGGCATATTGTGGCAGGAAAAACTCATTGTCTGATCCCACCTACTGAGTGGCACAAAAGTAAAAGAAAAAACACACAAAAAGGAACACCATTCTCTCTTCCAATCAACCATATTGCCTGGAGAGCAATTATACCCCACCATTTCCTTTTCTTATGCTTACACAAATAACACATTTAAAAACAGCAACTAAGTGAGTATAGTAAGAGTGAATGCAGAGATGCTGCTAGAACAGAAAAATATCAGAAATCATTCATTTTTGTCAGTCCATTAATACTGCTGTGTTGATAGCAAACATTCTTATTCGCTCCAATCAACAGGAATCCAGTAGCAGATTTTGCCAGCTGTATTCTGAACATGCAGTGGAAACACGAACATGCATTTGCCAGTCCGTTACATTTTCCCAAGTGGTGTCATTTATTAATAATAGATCACAACTTCATGTCCGCCTTGGTACCTTTCCTTTTATTTGCAGGGTACTTTTTTTTTCCTCACAGATGGCTTCCAATTTGATGTCTCCAATTTGCTGTCTCCATCTAAATAGCAGAAGATCTGCACTAACAGATCCTGGATGCCTCTCCTAGAGGCAAAACTGAAGAAGACTTCATAGTACAATCCTCAATACCCCAGTATGTACAACTAGCAGCTCAGCATACTGTTCCATTCTGGATGCATCCAAGTTTGCTTTACCTGTTCACCCCATGCACACTAGCATGGTAGAAGGAGACCAACAGATGCCATTGGCCACGTGAAAGGGAGACCAAATGATCAGGGCATCGCAGTCCGAATGCTCCTGCCAACACATGAAACCAGAGCACCACCTCTGCTTAAATGCCTCTGTTCAAGACAATGCCTGTCTTGATGGGAAGGTGGCATAGTCACCATACAGGTGATCCCCATGCCTGCAAAATGTACCATTTTTGTTAGCGTGATTTGAGTCACAGCCATGGATTATGAAAGGGTAAAGTTAACAGGAAAAGACTTATATAATAACCTTTCCCTTTATCTCTAATATTTTCAGCTTACTAGAATGGCTTTTGCTCCATACCCAAAGATGTGTCAATAGAAATGTCTTTTCGGCAAAGCACTGCTTTGTATTGTGAATACTTCCTATAACATTAGTGTACAGTCGCATGGGGAATCAGATCACAACCAAGGTGGGTGAGTCCCAAGCCTGCATGTTAAGCTTTCCCACACACATTTTGCCCCACTGGCAGAATGACACCACATCACGAACGGAGGTCAGCTGCCATCGCATGCACTTCCTGGGCAGAAATAGGATTCCATTTGGGACGATGCTTCTTTCCGCCATCCTGGATATGCTTGGGCTATTCAGTTCTTATTTACAATCCTCGTGTTCCACCATGCTGAAGCGAATAGAGTGCACAGGGTTTTCAGGGCTTTGCCATCAGACCTTCTGGCACACATGCAGTCTTGCTTTGGAAGAATAGGTGGCATCTTTCCAGATTTTGCATGACAGCCCTTTGGCACAGTCACATCGCTGGAAAATTTCCAAGCCATGAGACCCTTTCTTGCGCTGCTTGGTGCATACCTCCCCTTGGTGCAGCACAGGCTTACAAATTTTGGTCCAGAAATGGCGAGCACAACAAAACCCCTCGGTGCAGTCAGAGGACCTTAAGCAAGGGTCGCCTTCGTGGCCTAAAGAGAACACCGTCATAGTTAGTAGTTCACAGAGAAGAACAAAGAAGGAGATTAAGTCCCTACTTTCAAAGTACATTAATTAGGAATGTACGGGAACTTAATTCACTCTTCAAAGAGTAAGAAATGTCTGTGACCCCAAGCCCGAGCACAATGTTTGGAAAAAGACTGCACATTCTTGAGCTTACAATATCAGTTTGAAATATTGACTGATCTACAATATCAGTCCTTTGGGGAACATTTTTGTTTAGTTCCCATACTTTTCAAAAAGGATGCATATGCATGTTTTAATCATTGGAAGAAGTGTACATTTGGCCACATATTTTCCTCCTGTTTGAAGTTGTGCAGGATTCCTGTTCAATCTCCACCTCCAACCCATGTTCACAGGTGAAGATAAGGAGAAACAAACATCAGGGTAGCAAGGAGAGCCTTAACAAGTGGGGAATTCGCTCATTTATCCATTCCTAGCATGAATATATATTCATAACACAGTTCAGAGACACACATCTCTATCTTTCAGGCTACTTGAGGTAACTTTGAATTTTACAGGTGGGTTGTGCAGTGAAATTTTGCAGTGATCCTAATGACTTAAGAAGAATCTTCCTGATTCCAGCTACAGAGCCATGTCCTCCTCTAGGATATTATAGCTGCAAGAGTCCTGCCAGATCACTTCCTTCCATTCAGTTTTCCAGTTTTCTTTCCTAGATGAGACTTGACATTTCTCATCTCTCGAAGATGAATGAGTAAGTTTTGGGAGAAGGGTGTTGACCTTCCCTTTTAATCTTGTGTTCATCTGCATGCCCTAACACCCTGATACCTTGTTGATCAGTAGTTCCAGTTTTGCTCCCGTTCTGTCAGCACTAAATGGAATTTGCTATTGGAGGGAGTGACATTGCATGTTGCATTGCATTCAAGTGAGAATAAATGGGCCCTGTTCTTCTAACTGTAAGAAAGGTAGATGAGAAATAGCTTCAAGTAAATATGTGCCTGTG